GGTACTGTTTCACATGCAGCATTGTGGTGCATTGCCCCATGCTAAATATAAAGCACAGTGATACAGGTGTGTGAGAACAGAGAAACAACAAGTGTTTTCCTAGTTAAGAGTGTCAGGCCACAGAGCCTGGGAGATGGCTCAGCAATGTAAGCACCTGCCTGGCACACACAAGGTCCTGAGTTCAATCCCTGGTACCAGAAACAAAACAAAAACCTGGAAGAGTGTCAGGCCACGGATATAGCTCAGTGGCATGGTGCCTGCCTGGCAAGTGTGAGGTCTTGGGTTCAATTCCCAGTGCCAGAAAAAAAGAAAGAATGTCAAGGAAGATCGCAGGAAGGAGTGGCTTTTGAGCTGCGTCTGGAGTTTGGATGGAGCGCCGTGCGGTGGAAGGGCAGCCCCAGTACGAGCAGGCTGGCCAGCCGTGACTAGTCCGGTTGCTAATGGGCTGCCAGCCTCCTAGGTGCAGAAGAACCCCAGAGGGCCTTGTTAGACTACAAATCCTGGGTCTGGAGCTCTGGGTTGGACTCTGTCCTGTGAGCCAGGTGCAGTCACTGAAAGCTCCTAAGCAAGGGTTTTATGGCTGCCGGACGGTTGATCCCGCAATGCACGTGGTAGAACAGAGGTTGTGTACAGCATGGACCAGCCGAGAGGAGACACAGGGGCACACTTGTGTGCCAAGGGTTCATTGGTGTCTGCCTTACGTGGGCACTGTGTTTAGCTCCAGAGCTGAAGCTCCCAATGTTCGTTGTGCCTGAGGTTTCCCTGGAAAGCATGTTTTAAAATGCACATTTCCAATTCCCAGGTTAGTAGATCTGTGGTGGGGGCTCAATTACTCTTTTAAAATCATAGGACTTAATTTTTTTTTTTTTTTTTTTTTTTGAGTTAGGGTCCTGCTACATTGCCCAGGTGGCCTTCAACTCCGAGGCTCAAGCAGTCTTTCTGCGTTGGCCTCCCAAACAGTTAGGACTTCAGGGGCAACTTCTGGTCTCAGCAGATGCAGGTTAGGCAGTGCTGTCAAGAATACTGAGCTTTTAAAAACAATGTGTGTGTGCGCACAGAGACACAATTGGTGTAGCTTCTACCAACAACGAGATTATATGCATGTCCCTACAGGAGACGAGGTACATTTGTAACCAACTCGGAGGAAGAAGGAACTGGCTGTTTTCCCCAAAGAGCAAGAGAAGACATAGTGGGTGGGGATGGCGCAGCTGCTGGGCCTTAGCTGTGCGGGACCTAGATCTGAGGCAGCACTGGGGAAAGATCTGGAAGGTGGTAGAAAGAACATGGCCAAGAATACTCAGGCATCATTCAGGCTGGGGAGGGGTGGCTAAGGAGTCCAAGTCAACACTCTAAAGATAGGCTTGGCCCCGCTCAAAAGGCCTTTTAAAGTCTTAATTTCTGAGTTCAAGAGTTTATTTTGCTGGCAGCAAAGAATATTGAAGAATTTGGAAAAGGACAAGATACAAGTAGGCTTTCCTTTTTTTTTTTTTTTTTTTTGTACTAGGGATTGAACTCAGAACCCTGTGCTTGCCAGGCAGGTGCTTATTCTACTGAGCTATCTCCCTGGCCCCAGGCTATAGTTTTAGGAACAGGGACCTCATAGTAAGGTCCAAGGTGAGCTGGGAAGGAGAAAGAATGAGTCAGCTGACATGTTGATGACAGTAAAGTTCTGAGGGTCTGAGCTGAGTGCAGGTGGGAAGAGGAGGGACAAATTGGAGAGCTGGTGCACAGGGAGACCAGAGACCTACGACGACGAGGCCGCACCCAGGAGCAAGGAAACATGGTTGGAAGGCTGTATAGGCTAAGGAACTGAGGAAACGTCTTGACACTTTTGCAAACCGAGGGCTGAGGGAGGGAAGAGAGTCTGTACCCAGAGACAAGCGCTTGGGGCACACTGACATACGATGCCAGATGAAGCCTTAAGAATGGATGGGGGGGCTGGTGAGATGGCTCAGTGGTCTAAAGCACCTACTTAGAACAAGCTTAGCAAAGCACAGGGACCACAGTTCTAATCCCCCAGCACCACATGCCAGCCAGCCCCACCCCCTGGTGGGCTGAGCTGGCCACACACACACACACACACATAAATAAATAAAATTAAAAAAAAAAAAAAAGAATGGATGGGGCTGGACAGGGGAGATGGCTCAGCGGCCGAAGTGCCTGCCTGGCAAGCGCAAGGTCCTGAGCTCGGTCCCTGGCACCCAAAAAGGAATGGATGAGATTGCTGTAGGGGAGGGTGCAGAGGGAGGAAGACAGGGTCCAGGGCAGTACCTAAGAAGCAGAAGAGGAAGTGGAGCTGGATGGAAGCAACCAGAAAGGAAAGGAGCCCAACTCCACTGAAGCCAAAGTAGGAGGCTAGAAGAATGCACAGTGGCGGCTGGTGATGCCAGCAGTTACCCAGACTTTGAGAAAGGCACCCATAAAGGGGTCGGATGCAAGAACCGGAAGAGCAGATTCAGTGACTCATGGAGGCAATAGCCAGCTGACTGGGAAAAGTGAGCCCGTTTGAGGACGAAGACACAGCGTGAGAGACATTTGCCACAAGTGGAGTAGCAAGGAACGTGGAGAGGATGGGGCCAGAAAGGATGTGAGGCGAAGCTGAGGAGCAAGGGAAAGGGGAAGAGGGGCTGCTGCCTGGAGAGCCAGGGGAGAAATCCTTTCGGTCGATCGCCCCAGGGCAGCCCCACTCCCTGTCCTTGTGAGAGCCCCTGCCCTCCTAGCTCCACAGCCCTCCTCAAGGCCTAATGCTGAGGTCTGACCTTGGGCCATGCTGGGGTTCCAGGTCAGGCTGACCAAACACCAAGTCCGCAGGCAGAGCAGCTCTCTACTGTTGTTTTCAGAAAGATCTCCACCCATTGATTGCACTATTTTTTTTTTTAATGTTCGCCAACCGCAGGGTGGCCTGCCTGGGGTCACATTCACATTTTCTAACCCAAATGAAAAGGATCCTTTTGCACCAGCCCTCTCAGTCTGCTGTTTTTGGTTTTCAGCAGCTGAAGTTTTCCGTTGAGGTTCTTTTAAACGCCTACATGCAAACCGAAGAGCACTCAACCTTTGGTGGGATATCACCCACAGCTGGAGAGATGGAGGAAGAGAGGAAGACAGCCTCAGGTGCAGCCTTCTCTTTAAACAAACAAAAAAAAAAAAAGCCAAACAACTAAAGGAAACAAAATCTGCCTGAAGGCAGGCAAGGTCCTTCCAGAGAAAGAAGGAATGAGCCTCTTTCCGAGTGGGACAACGGGCCGGGGAGATGGCTCAGTTCCCTGGCAAGTACAAGGACCTGAGTTCAATCCCCGGTTCCGCCAAAAAAAAAAAAAAACAAAAAAACAAACAAACCAAGTGGGACGACTCATTTAGAATCCTGCCGCGCAGGACGACGCCCTCGGAGCACTCGGACTTATCCTGCGGCCCCATCCGTGCCTGCGAGGATGGAGAGGCTGCGAGCCGCAGGGCTGCGGGACGGGCACGGCGCTGGCTCCGCCGGTGGGGGCGGGGCGGGCACGTCTTGCTCTATTAAGCAAACACAGTTAATATAGATGAAAGGGAACCTTGGTAGAAGTGAAAATTGAAACTCGGGTGGAAGGTAGCGAGCCAGGCACAGCTGCAGCTGAACTTCCTCCTGGGTGGCTACAGGAACAACGCTTACTGATGTGTTTTGGAAGGGATGCCGTTTTTAAAAATATCTTTTTTTCTTCAGGGTGATTTTGGGTTTGCACATCTACCCTCAGTGGAGGGAGGGTGTGGAATAGTTAGCGAGAAGCCACTTAGGGCTTTTATATCTAATGTGTGGGGCCAGGCCCACGTTCTGGGGGGTGGGGCCGGTTCCCCAAGGTGACCGCACCAGTGCCAGTAACTGGCCGCGCCGGCTTGGACAAATCCCGGAGACATTGCTGCTTCCACATCTCCTCCTCTGAGAATCAAGAGCATCGAGTCAGTCTCTGTCTGCCCGCTTCGCCCTCAGTCCAGGGACTGGTGGCTCCTCCAGGGGAAGGACGACCTTCAGTCCCTGAGAACCAGCTTGAAAGACTGAGAGGGCTATTTCAAAAACCCCTCCTAAATGCTTACGATTCCATCAGGCAAATATTTAGTCTTGTTATGGTAGTATCTAAATGTCTTCTGCATTTCTGATGCTCTTCATCTTGAGGGAGCAGTAGTCCTTTTCTGGGTGACATCTGGCCCGAGGGCTGCCCCTCCTTCCTGTGTCGCCCTGCAGGGGTCTCATGTGGCCCTCCTGCTTGGGTGCAGACGCCGTTCCCCTTGCTTGGGTGGAACCCTCTTCACGTAGTGGCAGCGGCAGTGACTCCTCAGGTGCTACTGAACAATCTCTTCTCCTTTTATCTTTCTCGGCACGCTGTCACCAGTCCTGGTAGCTTCCTCTCCATTCGGCACTGCGTCTATATCAGTTCCAAAAGAGATGGAGAGATAGGACCTGTTTCGGTAGTTGGCACACCTGGAAAAGGAAGAGGCGAAGGGTGGCTTAACATCAAAAGAATAAAACCTGTTTTCACTATTCCACCCGTCAGCCTTAGCGGCCTACTTGCGCGCATTCGGAGGATAAAAATGGCCTTCCCTCCTTGACTCCTAGGAGCATGTCACCGCCTGCTGTTCACGGCAGTCACCGCAGGAGTGCTGACCTGAGGACTTTCTCCTTCCTTCCCCGCTCCTGGAGAAGAGTTGTCCAAGCTGTCAGTTTCATGGTCCCTCTGAGCACTCACAACCAAAACCTGTTGTTTCTGGCATTTCATTTTGCCTAGAACTCTGCTCTGTGTGTGTGTGTGTGTGTGTGTGTGTGAGAGAGAGAGAGAGAGAGAGAGAGAGAGAGAGAGAGAGAGAATGTGGTTTTTTCCTCCGAATTCAAATAATGAACGATGGTCCTCGTGTTTTCTTGCCTTGTAGATGTTCCGTGTTAGGTTAGCCTAATTCGCTGTCTCTGGCCTCTGAGATGCTTTCCTCGCTGCCAGTGTGGTCATTGTTCACTCCTTACATTTTCTTCCCCGCAGACAATTCAGTGAAAGTGGAGGATGAATACAGTGAAAGGGAGGAGAGTGTATTAAAGCCAGAGCCCCTGGGAAATATGGAGGAGCCTGAAACCCCGTACAGCTACGCAAGAGAATACGGTGAATACGAGAACGTGAAGCTGGAGAGACACGCTGCCTCCTACGACGGCGGCAGGCCAGCTGGAGGCAAGATGAGCTGCGACGTGTGTGGGTTATCCTGCATCAGCTTCAATGTCCTAATGGTTCACAAGCGGAGCCACACTGGTAAATAGCCTCTTTTTTCATTCTTCTGAAGAACTGTCTGCAGCCGCAGAACCAGAGTGAGCAGGTAGAGTCCGGGGCTTCCCATTCCTTCCTCCGGCCTTCGCGGCAGTTCCGATGTGCCTGCCCCTGCCTTGCCCTTTGTCCAGTGAGTCGGCAAATGCTGTGAATGAAGAAAGGCCATAGACGGCACTGGGTTCTAGGTCAGCCAGATAGTTTTTCTTCAGCTAATAAGCAGGAGTTGAAGTATGTGACTTGCTCCTCAGACATCTCCATGTATGTCTATATAACACCTTGAATAAAAGAGAGCTCCTGAGTGTACTGGGTTCAGAGTTGTTGGACGAAAGGTTATAGTTTTTATCTCCAATTTTAAGGATGGCATTTCCAGACAGAGACCAGGCAGTTTATAGGAAATCCTATGATCAGCAGTCCCCTGAGCCAGTAGATTGCACCTGACAGCCAACTTGAAGAGTAAAAGTGGGTATTTGTGGCCTCCACACCTTATTGGGACTTGAGTCTGGAGCCTTTGGAAAGGAGATTATATTTAAGAGGAATGTTAAGTAATACAAAAACTCAGAGGCTGAGTGTGGCGGCGCATGCCTGTAATCCCAGCACTTGGGAGGCTGGGACAGGAGGATTGTTGCAAGTTCAAGACCAGCCTGGGG